TGGTCAGCTTCACGTCCTGGACACTTTACCCCAGGAAATATAACATCCAGTACAAATTCGATGGGAGGCTGGGTGGGCCCCAGAAAACAGCAGATGTACATTAGAGAGAAATCATGTTTCAACTAATTTTAAATCCAATTATATTGTACTTAATACTTTAATGTGTATAGCTAGGTAATGGCGCGATAAACACCTTCTCGCTTAAGCGCGTAACAAAAATAAATGATCATTACCAGGCAACGGCTCCGTAAACACGTTCCAACACCCAACAATGGAAGCTGTGCTCTCAATGGCCAAATGTTACAGCTCGTTGCTAGGCAACAGTCAGTGAGTCAATGAATTGGCCGGATGGCGATCATGTGGTTACCCCAAGAGAAGCGTCAGGAAACAACATAGAAAACTGTGTTTTCTGTGCGTTGGTCCGTGCCACGGCTATATAACTCAAGTCCGCTTATAGCCAGTTCAGTACCGTTAGAGTGACTAGACTGCCGTTGTAGCAGGAGCTACAATGATAGGACATGATCTGCTGTACTAAGCTTGGCCTGACAGAGGTCTTATATACGAGTATTTTGTATATATATATATATACATACATTTAATAACATGTAAAATGAAAATTGTACGTACTGACAACAGACTTATTGCTGCTGACTGTGACTCTGGCAAACGGCAGACCCGCCCTCTCGTCAGAGAGAGAGTGCCCAACATCAACAAGCCTGCAACTGTCCGAAAATATTAAGGATCTGGACTTAAACCCCAAATGGATACTTCATCCCAAGGCAGACCGGCCAACTGACCGTCGGCCGTAACATAACTTTGAACTCTGAACTCGGGCCAGTTTAGTTAAGGGAATTGGACCGGCAGGTGAGCTGAGAATTCCAAATAGGTGATTTCAGTTCTACAGCGAATCGGAGAGAGAATTAGGGCAAGAAGACGTCCGAGTGATTTGAAGTAACAGCTTCTGTGTTGAGAGCCGTTGCCAGGATACGACTAGTGAACACCGAGAATCCTGGTGCCTGTGCAACGATTAACTGCAAAGTGTGTAAATCATCGATGGCGCTCTATTGGTTGTATTTACGAGAGATTTTAACCGAAGTGCCAATTCAATCATCCAACTTAGGGTTCCTCTCGAACCTGGATACCACAACATTTATCCGGGTGACTGTCTTGTGTGGGCCTTCCCACGAGGATTTAAGCTTGGGCGATTTCCCTTTCGTGCAGGTTGGGCGATAGAGCCACACAATATTAATTAATAGTCCTTCTGGATGACTACCTCCTTATAGTGGAGAGGGAATTTGCGCGCACCAATGACCCGAAGAGATATGCTGGCGGCAGCGTAAGCTTCTGGAAGAGCCACGTAAACCAGACAGATAAAAGGGTAGGGATCAGACGAAGTGTAGTCCCTGGTTCTCCAGTTTAAGGGGTGGACGTGTGGCTAACGATCCCACACCCGAGATGTATACTGTTACGAAACCATAGTGGAACCCAAGACCCACACAAGACTGCAGCTCCAGTAACGGTAAAAAGTAAAAGTAAAGTTGTCCCTCTTGATGCGGATGTATAGATCCAAATTTTCTTCACCTCGACACTAGCTGGAGGTGAGTGGTCAGCTTCGTGCCCCGGCCGCTTTATCCCATGGGAAAGAGATCCCAGTACCCATTGGATAGGAGGCTGGGTGGGCCCCAGAGCCGGTCTGGACGATACGGAGAAGAGAAAATCTGATCCCTCGGTCGCCAAGCCCCGTAGGCAGCTGCTATACCGACTGAACTATCGCGGCCCTCGTAGCCCCAGTAAGGACGATCAGTTACTAATAGTGGTGTTGTTAGACATTAAAATCATAACAATGTCTTTACAGCACGAAGTATCTGGTTTGTTGATGGTACCCAGTGAGGGAATTGTTGGATGGGAACGTGTTATAACCACGGGCAGTGCCTCGCCATTAGAGACAATGAAACCTTCAAGGTCCAACACTTTTCAACACATTAAATGATAACATATCGACATCAAGTGTCGTAATACACAACAGTTGCAACCTCAGCTGCGCACTTCGCGTGTCAAGAGGTGTTGAAATGTTATCAGGATGGTAAACATTAATAGAGTTCAAATACATTTTCACCCGTTATGAGAGCAGAACTTGGTTCCTGTGTCACTCATGGAGCTGAGCCCTTCTTGAGCAGCCGCCAATTGTGAAGCTATTCAAGAACTTTCCAGCATTTCTTGGAACTCGAAGGTTCATTACCGTGTTCACAAGAGCCATCCACTGGTCCCTATCCTGAGACAGATCAATCCAATCCATATAATTCCATCCTCTCTCTCTAAGATCCGTTTTAATATTGTCCACCCACTTTTTTTGTGCTAATGGGGTGGGACTAAGTCCCTTGTACTGCGGCCACTTCTGGCCTATTGTACCAGCCCCAGATGATAGGTGAGGGTGACTGTGGAGCAATTGGTGGAATGAAGATTGGCAGGGGAAACCGAAGTACTAGGAGAAAACCTGCCCCAGCGCCACTGCGTCCACCATAAATCCCACTTGACCAGACCCGGGATCGAACCCGGGCCGCCGCGGTGGAAAGCCAGCCACTAACCGCTTGAACTATGGCGCGGCCACGTCCACCCACTTACGTTTTGTTCTTCCCAGTGGTCTCTTTCCTTCTGACTTTCCCACTATTATCCTATATGCATTCCTCTTCTCTCCCATTCTTGCTACCTGCCCTGCCCATCTCATCCTCCTTGGCTTGAACATTCTAATTATATTTGGAGAAGAGTACAAGTTATGAAGCTCCTCATTATGTAGTTTTCTTCAACCTCCTGTCACTTCACCTCTCTTCGGTCCAAATATTCTCCTCAGCACCCTGGTCTCAAACACCTTCAGTCTGTGTTCCTCCCTTAAAGTCAGAGACCAAGTTTCACACTCTTACAGAACCACAGGCAAAGTTATTGTATATTATGAGAGAAAACTTATAATTAATGTAGGATGAAGCCCTCACACGGGTGAATGTGAATAGTAACAGCTTTTGGTATATGACATTGCATATTAGGGTAGAAGTTCACCGATGTTTCGGAAGAAATACCATAACTATTTTGAAGGCACAAGAGTAAGACAAGCAAGCAAGTAAGTAACCAACACGACGTCTTCTTGCTGACAACACGGCGTCAAATCCAAGTGGATGATATTCTACACTGGTTGACTGTGTCCGTGAGTGGGACGCTTAGGGGAGTGTATGTCATAAGAGCGGGGAAGTACAAGTCTGTTACGTTTGCTATTCAACGATTCTGTCAAGAGTCGATGATAGGATAATTAGCGAATATGGAACAACTGGTAGAATGATAACTGGCAGGGGAAACAGAAGTACTCGTTGAAAGCCTATCCTAGTTCCACTTTGTCAACCATAAATCCCACATTACCCGACCTGGGATCGAACCTAGACCACTGCTGAGCAACGGCACAGCCCGGCAGAAAGTACAAGTAGAAAAGAGAAAATTACATACTGATATATAATTTATGTCCTTCACTAACATTTTTGTGATTCACTTCAAGAAGAGCAGGTTGGGCGGAACACGTAGCACACAAAGAGAGGTTAAAAAAATGAGTACAAAATAAGAAAACCTGAAAGGGAGATATCGCTTGGAAAATGTGAAATTCCGCTTAGTGGGGGGTGGAGTCCAACTGGGCCCACTGATTGGCCTATTGTAGGTTGCCGCGGTTGATTATGGTGGACAATTTGGTGGAATGAAAATTGGCAGGGGAAACCGAAGTACTCGGAGAAAAACCGCTCCAGCGCCACTTTGTCCACCACAAATCCCAAAATGTGAAGATACTATTGAACTGAATCATCATGCTCGGGGGAGAGAACTTATAATCGGCTCTTACGTATACAGTAATGAACCTTCAGGTTTTATAGAATAACAGAAATTTATTGACAAATTTAGCGACTGTCAGCTTATCAAGGTTGAATTAGCTACACGAAATCAGTGACAACGAAAGAATTTGATTTTTTCTCAACGTCGAAAACTACAGGATATTATGACGTTCATTAACTGCTGATCACATGACATGTTTTACATGTATCCTATGTTCAGAAGTATCCTTCGTTTGCTGTAGGACCAAGGCATGCGTTTCCTTTTGTCTACGAAGAAGGCATTAAGGTTGAAAACTATACCATAAGGTGAATTATTATGAACCTTAAAGCACTGTAACTAAAGCATCTATAAACAGGACCGTCACTTTTACAAGAAACATTAAAACATCATTTCGCGCACCACTTCACAACGAGATCCTACAGTAAGTCTCGTAAACACAGTATACTATGGGCAAAATCAATGCAACGTATTGCACATTTAAAACAACTTCCTAGTAGCAGGACTTGAGGATTTGGGCATATAACGCAGTGTAGTCAGTTCAAAGTCAACTGACGTTTCGGAGAAGTTCGTCGCCTATAATTTCACTGTCTAATAATGAGCCAAGCATGAAATGTGAGTGAAAGCAGGTGATAAGTACCACCAGACTAACCAAGAAACCATTGTGAAAGCAGATGGTAAGTACCACCAAACTAACCAAGAAACCATTGTGAAAGCAGGTGGTAAGTACCACCAAACTAACCAAGAAACCACTGTGAAAGCAGGTGGTAAGTACCACCAGACTAACCAAGAAACCATTGTGAAAGCAGGTGACAAGCAGATATACTTGCTGCTTGCTTTCACGCTGGTTTCTTGGTTGGTTTATTCTTCGATCCTGAAGATGGAAGCGATATGTTTATCCGAAATATAGGTTGGCTTTCAACGTAATAGACGGCGTAATATCCCAGAAGATGGAAGTTCTCAACTTCCTAGTTCGTTTAATGATATGACTTTTTAAATAATTTTAAAATTAAAATTCATTGCAGAACGCGTCCGAAGGCCATAAGGAAACTTTGTGGAAACCTTGGACTTAGTTTATGAATCACTGAGCAAGAAGATTACAAAATAATAGTAACAAAGTTCTAATTTAAATATATACTTACAGTCGGATAATTTCTGCGCTAACTCCGGTGCGGCGAAGTTCATTCGAAGCCGGTCTGTCTCAGTTATTATCTACACACTTTACTCACGCACTGAGTACATCAATGGAGTTAACAGCAGATTAAGCGCTGTGTTCGAGTCATGTGCTGGGGCACCGCACGTTTCGTGTGCCCAATTAACTGCACGTCTGCCCAACAGGCCCAGTACAATTTCTTCCCTTTCAGACTGAACCTGATTGTGCTGGAAGGGGAAGAAGATAGAGGGGAAGTTGTTTCTGTCAGTAACGGAACGGATTGGTTGCTGCATTTCCCCTCCGCGTGACAGCGCGGGCCAGTTGCTGTATTACTACGCGCGTGTATCTTGTAGTGCCCACGTTATATAGGCTAACCCCCAAGCGGTCACAGTAGTTCCAAATATTATATTTAAACATTCTGTTGTAAATGAAGCCCGGATAATTCAGTCGGTATAAGAACGGATTACGGGCTGGACTTCTGGGGTTCGATTCCCGTCAAAGGCAAGATATTTTCTTTTCTTTACAGTGTGCAGACCGGCTCTGGGGCAAACTCAGCCTTTTATCCAACGGATATCGGAGGCTCTTTCCTTGAGGGTAAAACGGCCGAGGGTGAAACTGACCACTCACCTCCGTCTATTGCCGAGGTTAAGAATTGTGGAGCTAAACCTCCACTCTCCTATACGTAGTGGTGTTTAATTAATTAAGTATAGGGACAACTTTACCTTATAATCTTGTACGTGTAAATGTGACAATCTCGTAACTTATTGGCTACAACAGCGGTTAGTCCATGTCTTCCACACACACACACACACACACAATAGCCGGAAGAGCATTCGAAACCGAAATGTAAAAGAACAGATTTCAGCCACGACAACAGAGACAGACACAAGAAGAAATACCGTATTTACGCATGTATCGGCCGCGTNATTATTTTACAGACGGTAAGACTCCTTGGACGGGGGATCAGCCCGTCGCAAGCCGCTACCTACACAAACAGAATAAATGCAGACATACATCCACGCCTTGAGTGGGGTTTCGAAACCACAAACCCAGAGGTCGTGCGAGAGAAGACAGTTCATGTCATAGGTAGGCCGCACACCGGCATGCGTCAAGACATATAACAGTCAACGCACGATGACGCAAAAAAAAGGAGTACAGTTGAAACGAATTAGATTATGAAAACCGCAGCACACCGGTCTGACTCATGATGCTGACGTCAGCTTCATGCTTACTCTCATGTCTTGATGCTTGTCTTGATGCAGTTCACATGCGGCCGCCCTATTAGACCACGCGGCCAGTGTGATCGATTCTCGTTAAGTTTATATTTCTGTTATTTTAAGGAAAGAACGTATGCTTGTGAGATCACCATGCTGTGTGAGGCTGTGTTCCACACGACTCGCCCCAATTTACCTTCACATGAATAAGGACACAGCAATCTGTTTGTCAATACCCGGTGTTTGGTAAATAAATTCTGGGGCTTCATTCTAACCTTGAGGGTATTTAAGTGGGGGGGGGGAAGCAATTTAGAGAGTTCAAGATGAGGTAGAATCTTTTTCTCTGGGTAGGAGCCAGACGCTGAAACAGAAGAGTTGGACGGAACGCGCATCAGCCTTGGGCACAGCCATTTGCAAAGTAGAGGTAGTGAGGTGGGACCGGTGGGACTAAGTCCCTTGTACTGCTGCCACTTCTGGCCTATTGTACCAGCCCCAGATGATAGGTGAGGGTGATTGTGGAGCAATTGGTGGAATGAAGATTGGCAGGGGAAACCGAAATACTCGGAGAAAACCTGCCCCAGTGCCACTTTGTCCATCACAAATCCCACTTGACCAGACCCGGGATCGAACCCGGGCCGCTGTGGCGGGAAGCCATCGAGTAACCGCTTGAGCTATGGCGCGGTCTAGTAGAGGTACTTACATGAAATTATAACAACCTCGACACCGTAAGATATAAGAGGAACGGGTTAATCAAGTAAGTGTCTTTCCCAGATATTTAAAAGTTCAATATATTCTCGAAGGGTTTATTAGCTATCTCGTCTATTGTAACGCTCACAGAGAATTCTACAGTAAATCTTATCGTTTTATATGAACTTTCATACTATTATTAATTTTCGGGGCAAGCAGTAGCGTAGTTGGTTGAGGCAATATGCTACAAGGCGGAAGATCGCGTGATCGAATCCCGATGAGGTCTTCGCATATTTCCCCCCCCCCAATTTATCAAATCCTTCCAGCCGCACTATGGCTCTTGGGCTGACTCAGCCTCTAACAGAAATGAGTACCAGGAATATTCTTGGGGGTAAAGCGAGGTCGGCGCGTAGGGCTGACAACCTTACCGCCATCTGTGAGCAGATTGTCTAGAAAAAGTGGGAGCCTAAACGTCTCACAACCCTATGGGCCTCCGCGGCCTGTTACAGGGATACCTTCACTTTACTTCACTTTACTTTACTTTACAGTTAACTTTCCCTGCTTTCATTTACGTTCCTACATACAATCGAAAGATGGATCAAGCAGCCGTTTAATGCCATCTCCAGTGAATATCACGCACAAATAGACAATCGTGAAGCATCTTGTTTGCATGGTACATAACGCTTCACACATCCGCACCAAAACATCAATAAACACAGAATACACACGATACGCTGAAACACAAACTGCTCGTTTATTCTTAACCTACTATATAACTTACGTTCATGGAACTTGTTAACGCTCGACAATTCGTTACTATGGTAACCCAAAAGTGTGTAAGCAGAACGGTAAATCTCACGCTTATAGCCCCTTGTGTGTAAATAAATGTATTACGTTGTGTTCTACATTACAGAAGCAAGATATGAACATATATTTAATTAAATTTTGCTTGGTTCATCTTGGTCCGTCACACTAACAATAGTATAAAAGCAGTACAACAACACAGCGCGGCCCGAACAACAGGACATTAAGAGTCCCATTTCTCAAACAGCGGAACCACGGCGCGGCAGACACTCAACTTCCTTTAAAGAGGCAGTATAAAGGACACGAACCAAACTGGTTCTAGATTTTAACAAAGTTTTTAAAACCATACTTGTAAATACACTAATTATAATAATTTATTAGTATTTTAATAAATTCATGCACATTGCTGTAATTGTTAAAGGTTAATATTTTATATTCATGACACTGAAATATTTGTTTCAGTATGTATTGATAATGACCAGTCATATTGTAATGGTAGTTTCTGCATGTGTTGATATGTCTTTCTGAAGATGGTCACTCCGATCGAAACACGTAAAGAATGAAAGATTAAACTTACTTACTTACTTACTCTGAAAGCGGCCTCCGTATTCTAGAGGCAACGTTCCCACCTCATGACTCGTGGTACGCGGGTTCAAATACACGGCGGAGGTCGTCGAATTTTCAAGGGCGGAAAAATTCAGGGAACAAGTCCTCCGGGAGGGACTTTAAGCTGTGTGTCCCGTGTCGTAACTTTACGGCACGTAAAAGAACCTCATATCCCCAAAACGGATCACTGAGCCAAATTCCCGGACGTTTCCCGCCCAACAATAGTCTTTAAGGCCTCTGATAGATGGGGGAAGCATTACAGACACCGCTAAGCAAGTGGCCGAACTCGCTTGCTCGGCGGGACTGATGGTACGCACCATTTATCGGTAGGGTATAGAGACTGGTAGAATATCATAGACCGAAGCACAATGGACCAATACAGGTAGCGGTGCATGGGGAAACCCACCCTCTCTAAATAACTAACTAACCAACTAACTACTTACTTACTCATGGAGCTGAGCCCTTTTAGAGGAGCCCCCAATTCTGCAGTTACTCAAGAATTTCCCAGCATTTTATGGAACCCGAAGGTTCGTTACCGTCTTCACAAGAGCCCTCCACTGGTCCCTATCCTGAGCCAGATCAATCCAGCCTACATCGCTTATCCAGAGGATCCGTCTGGGTTCGAGAATTTGTGTACATTTTCGTAAGGTTATTTTTTTAGGGCAAGGAGTTGTTAACCCCACGCCCAACTCCGAAGCTGGAGGACCATCTCTTGTCGGCTGTCAGCGACTACTTATTCAGTATACTTGCAGCTTCCTTCCATACCTGAAGGCTGCCTCCTCCATCCGCAACCTGAGGACGCCCCATGCCGTGGTGACAAGGGACTCACCTAACATCCGCAACCTGAGGACGCGCCATGCCGTGGTGACAAGGGACCCACCTAACATCCGCAACCTGAGGACGCGCCCTGCCGTGGTCACAAGTGACCCACCTAACATCCGCAACCTGAGGACGCGCCATGCCGTGGTGACAAAGGACCCACCTAACATCCGCAACCTGAGGACGTGCCATGCCGTGGTGACAAGGGACCCGCCCAACATCCGCAACCTGAGGACGCGCCATACCGTGGTGACAAGGGACCTGTCCAACATCCGCAACCTGAGGACG